AGAAAAGGAAAATCCTGACTCCTTTAGGTTTTGTTTACGATATTTGCTTTCTCCAGAGTCCATTTATTTACTTTTTATATTTATTTTATGTCTGGTGTGTATGAAGACTTTGCCTGTACATCTGTATGTGCACCATGGGTATACCTGGTGCTTTGGAGGTCAGACGCTGGGTCCCCTGGAACTGAAGTTACAGGTGGCTGTGAGTCAACACGTGGGTCCTGGGAACCGAATCTGGGGCCTCTGCAAGGGCGACAACTGCTCTAAACAGCTAGACCACTCCGTCAGCCTCCACAGTCACACACACACACACACATAAATAATAACCATTCGTGGGTGCTGTAAGATGAGTACAAAGGACTTGTTAAGATAACCAAGCCTTATTACCTAAGTCCTAACTCTGGAGCCCATATGGAAGAAGTGAACTGATTCTTGAAAGTTGTCCTTTGACCTCTACACTCGTGCTGTGGCACATAGGCTCCCACTACAAATAAATAATTGTAAAGTAGTTTTAATAGAAAAGGGGGGGCTGGTAAATAGCTCAGCGCTTCCCATATAAGCCTGACTACCTGATTTCTGTCTCCAGAACCTATGTAAAGGTGGGAGAAGAGAATAACTCCATACTGTTGCTCTGTGACATCCACACGCACGCTGTGGCACACCTGCACCACTGCCCCATGTATATCACAATACACTACTAATAATAACTTTTTAAAAATAGAAAAAGGCCTGGTGATACAGCTCAGAGGTGGAGTGCTTGCCTTGCATGCTCAAGGCCCTCGGCTCCATCCCAAGTACCAAAGCAAAAGTGGATAAGCAAACTCAATCCAGATGTGAAAGTTAGAGAGTAAATCGAGATAGAGAGCTGAAGGCTCTGAAGCAAGGAGATGAGAGGGAGGTTGAAAGCCCCGGATGTGAAGTGAGAAGAGGAAAACAGAGCAGAAGAAAAGACCTCCAGACACCATCAGCAACACCTGATCACAAGTCATAAAAACTGGGCTTATCAAGATTCCCAAACTGGCTTCCATGGTGAAAGGTACTTAGGGTACACTTGTTAGGGCAGCGAAAGGTTCTGCCTTAGGTACAGAACTGAGAGATAAGCAAAACAGTTTGGGATGAGGGAACAAATTCTTTTTTGGCTTGGTTATTACTTCCAGAAACATTAAGGGGAACAGAGCCACAAAGCAAACAGTCCCCTCCTACCAACCACGCCACCTATGTACTTTGCCCAAGACTATATTATCAATCTTAGCAGAACCTAGCCTTGTAGCCTTACCTCTAGTCCAGCATCAGCAGGAAGAGCCGTAAAAGATTCATTTATTTTGTTCAATAATTGTTCATTGTTCACTAACTAAAAGTTAACTGCTTTATGAGGTGCTGCATATACAGTGATGACCAAAATATGTCTCTGGGTGCTGATAAGATGGCTCAGCAGGCTAAGACACTTGCTGCCAAACATGGTGACCTGAATTCAGTTTCTAGGATCCACGTGATTGAAGGAAAGAACCAACACCTGAAAGTTGACCTCCGACCTTCGCACAAATGCCATGGTACATGTTCATTCACACAGTAAATAAATGTAATCTTAAATATAGAAAGGAAAAGACGAGTTTCCTCTCACACTCTGTGTGTTGTGTAGTTATATGCAAATTGTTGTGACAATTGCTTTAAAGAAGAAACAGATTCTACGCAAGGGTGCTATTCAAAATATTTCTCAGTGTGCACACCGTAAGCACTGACCCATCAAAGCAGATGTCAGTATAATTTGAATGAAGACTGTGAACAATTTCACTTGTCTTAGTATGACGTTACTGAATAGAATTGCCGCTTTTATGCAGGGAATAAACTTGTAGGCTCCATAGGTGATTGATCTGGGTCAGTGAGGTCTCTTATGTTATGCCTGAGGCAAAAAGATGGAGAATTGGCACAATCAAGGAGGGAGCAAGAGAACACTTCAGCGAGGGAACAGCATGTGAGGGCCATAAGGCCCTGTTCCCTCAGGCTGTTCCATCTAGAGTCATGGTTAGCGAGTAGGTAATAAGTTGCCTATGAATCTAGGTCAAGGAGGTAGTAAGGGCAGTGGCACCATGACAGCAAGGCATACCAGGGTAAGATGTAATCAGAGTCACAGGAACGACAGAGCTGTTTTGTTGTTGTTGGGTTTTGAGACAGGGTTTCTCTGTGTAGCCCTGGCTGTCCTTGAACTCACTCCATAGACCAGGCTAGCTTCAAACAGAGATCCACCTCTCTGGTGCTAGGATTAAACACATGCGCCACTACTACCTGGCTCTAAAATAATTCTTATTAGAGTTACTAATGAACCCACATTTCTTTTTGTTCTTTCTGGTTTTAGAGATAAGTTGCTTGAGTTGTTACAGGTTTCCCAGGCCTGCCTCAGTAACTGGTAAGGTAGGTGTGTCCCACCATGGCTGAATACAACATGCCTTTCTCCATTCAGTGGTCTTTTCTTTTTTGAGAAGGGTATGATTGGAACTGAGTGCACAGTCTGTGCCTGTTCCACTATGGATCACTTTACTTAATTCACAGCTGCCCCTTCCCCACTCCCAAGCCCCTTAACTTGCTCTCTTTTCCTTTATGAAACACTTATCACCTTATTCATATGTTAGCTAACATACATTATTTGTTATTTTTATTTTCTTTACTTCTCATATTAATTTCTAGTGTTTCTCTCCTTTCTAGACTATAGGCTTTTCCAAAGCAAGAATCTGTTACTGGATCCCTGGGGTTCAGTAAGTGCCTGGTACTCAAAATAGCTGTTGAATGAATGAATGAATGAATAAAATGTAGGTAATACCTTTCGTGAAAGCTGAATAACAGGTAGAGTTTACAATGGTCACCCTACAAATGTTAGGTCTCTATCTCCATTCCCCAAATATCTTCCTTAGTTACCTACTGCTCTGGTCTCTCTTGAATTATTTATCGGTTTAGTTGTTTTTAAAATGAGGATATCAGGGGGCTGGAGATATGGCTCAGTGGTTAAGAGCACTGACTGCTCTTCCAGAGGACCCGGGTTCAATTCCCAGCACCCACATGGCAGCTCACAACGGTCTGAAGATCCAGTTGCAGGTTATCTGACACATTCACACCAATGCACATAAAACAAAGTTAAATAAACCAGAAAAATATTAAAAAAATAAAATGAGGATATCACTATGTTGTCCAGATTGATCTTGAACAATACTTGGGCATAAGTTATCCTACTAATATGCATCTAATATGCATTACCATACGACTTTTCCTGCATTCTCTCTCTCTCTCTCTCTCTCTCTCTCTCTCTGTGTGTGTGTGTGTGTGTGTGTGTGTGTGTGTGTGTGTTCTGGGACACCAAACTAAGGGCCTCATGCATTCTAGGCAAGCAATTTACCCATGAGTTGGAGCCCCAGGCCCCAGTCTCAAAGAAGAGCTTAAATTTAGAAAAATTCTGCAAAGGGTCCCAGCTACCATCTCAGGAAAGAAAGCCTGGGTGATCAGCTCTACAAATTACGAGTGCTAAACCAGATGTGGTGGCCCAAGCCTTTAATCTCAGCATTTGGGAGGCAGAGGCAGACAGACCCCTGAGCTTGAGGCCAGGGTAGTCTACAGAGTGAGTTCCATAGAGTCAGGGCTATACAGAGATACCCTGTCTCTCTCTAAAAAAAAAAAAAAAAAAAAAAAAAAAAAAAAAAAAAAAAAAAAAAAGATGGAAGAGGAGGAGGAGGGAGAAGAAGAAGGGACAGAAAGAAAGGAGGGGGGAGGGAGGAAGGGAGGGAGGGAGAGAGGGAAGTAGGGAGTTACAACTGCTTATCAAATTGGTAAATTGTCCTCCACAGAAACAGAATGGTCCAATGGATAGGTAAAAGTACCTGTGGCTGCTGTTGGCAATTTGTTGCAAAGATTAAAAAAATAAACATAACAGATCCACCCCCCCCACATATAGACATATTTTCATTGTAATGGTCGACGAATTTTGACAAATTATTTGCTTTGATGAACGGCATTCCGATCACTTGGAATTATATAAGTCGAAGCATTTAACAGAGATCCGGTTATGCAACTGGAAATAAGGAATATTCTTAGAAATAAATAAATACGGACAGGTGGAGGCAGGAAGGGCTGGTCTGAGATTTTTCCTGGGATCTCAAAGCAATAGGCTCTGTAGTTCTGAGATGCCTGGCTACTACATTGCACTTTCTGGTCAGGATTAGTGACTATCACCTGTAATCCCAGCACTTGGAATCGTTAGTGAGTTCAGCAAGAGTGAACGACAAAGTAAATGAAACCCTGTCTAAAACGAACAAACAAACGGGAGGGGAAGGTATTTTTTGAAGGAGCCGGCTGCCGGTTTAGTCACTTTCATTTACGTTTATTATGTCACGAAGTGACAACCGGGATTGAGTTGTGGCTTTCTGCCCTGCAAATCTTTTCGCCACAACTACGCCCCACGTCCCCACCCATCGGTAGGTGAGGCTCTAGTCCCAGACAGCCAGGCTTCCAGGACTGCTGAGGCACCCACCCACCAAGCTTTAAAACCTCTATTAAGTCCCAGTTAGAAACTGGATTGGGATTCGCCTCAACAGACGCAGCACCGCGGCTAAGAAAGAAAAAGCGCTGCACTTGGTCCCATTGAGGTCTGCCATTCTCTGTTCCTCTGGGTTCTTCGGGCTCAGGGCCTTGAGGGCATAAATGACTCAATCCGCCTATCGAGCAGTCTCCATTTCTCTCCCCGTGGGACTTAAACCCTCAAGTGGTTTCAGGTTCATTTTTTACTTAGAGACCGGGATTCTGAATCCAGAGTGGGGAAACTGAAGCAGAACAAGGGATTCTGAGTGACTGATCAGATCCCGGAGGCAGACTCTATATCCTTAGAAAAACCAAAGACTGCCCAAGCCAAACGAAGAAGAAACCACTTGGGTTCCGGCAGGCAGCTGGGGAGAACCAGGCACCTCCCACACGGCTGGAGAAACTTTGGGGCGGTGCCGGGGGCGGGGTCCTGGTGGAGGGCGGGACAGACCCGGACGGCGGGAGTGCCAGCCTAAGCTTGCGCCGCACAAGTGGCAGAGGTGGCTCTTGCCCGTGGTCCCGTTCATTTGTGCGCGACTTTGGCACCATGGAGGGGACCCAAGAAGCTCTGAGTGGGAAAATGCGGCTCCTTTTCACCCCTGCTGCTCGGACCAGCCTTATGATGCTTAGGCTCAACGAAGCGGCGCTACGGGCACTGCAAGAGTGTCAGCAGCAACAGGTGCGGTTGGCCCCCAACCCCTTCTTCCATTCTTGACCAATCAGACCTCGGCCTCAGCCCGCTGCACTGGAGAAGGGAACGGGGAGGAGCGGCTTACGCAGGTTCCAACCTCTCCCACCTCTCCAAGAGCAGCCCGCCAGGCAGGTGTCCCCAGCCCGAACCGCTCCCCCTCTCCGCCCCCGCCCTATCCTGGGGACTTTGCTTCCTTTGTGCTCAGCTGGTGCTTGGACTCTTCCCGCAGGTACGGCCTGTGATCGCTTTCCAAGGCCACCGAGGGGTAAGTGCAGGCCGGATTTGTGAGGAAGTTCTGGTGGGTGAGGGAGCCTAAGCGTGGGCTCTGGGAAGGTGCGCTCCGGACCGTAGCTTGCCAGTGGTCACGGTTTGAGGAAGTTATAGAACTGAACCCTAAGAGGGTGAGGGGCTGATGGGGCTGTGCCCCAGGAGGCTGTGCATTCTCAGGCTCTTGGGGGAACTCTGACCCAGCTGCACCTGGTGTGCTAACGAGTCCCTTGGGATCTGTCTTCAGTCTTAGAGTTGTTTGGGGAAGAGTGTCATGGGGAGGAGGAGGGGCCGACTTAGCGGGGCTTACCATCTCCTTCTACCCCAGTATCTAAGGCTTCCAGGCCCTGGATGGTCCTGCCTCTTCTCCTTCATAGTATCCCAGTGTGGCCAAGAGGGCACTAGTGGCGGCTTGGAACTTGTGTACCAACGTTTAGGCAGGTAAGAGAAAACAGACAACAGGTAAGAGAACTTTGGAGAAAGTAGGAAGAAGGGGAATGAGAAGAAGGGTTAAAAAGATCTTCAACTTTTTTGTTTTTGTTTTCCCCACCACTTATTTCCAGATCTGGGCCTAACTGTCTCCACTGCCTGGGCTCACTGAGAGAGCGACTCACTATCTGGGCAGCCATGGATACTGTCCCAGCCCCACTGTTAGCGCATGAACACCTGACTGAAGATCCCAGAGAGTCCGAGAGTTGGCGGGACACTGGAGATGCTCCTGAAGGTCATCCCCAGATGGCACTAGAAGAGGTGAGACCAGAAACAGCAGGAAGTCAGCATGAGGTGGGGCACCCAGGTCCAGGGAGCCAAGTGCTCCTTTAACTTCCCCTGACAGGTATCTGACCCACTGGCAAGCAACCATGAACAGTCACTCCCGGGATCCTCCAGTGAGCACATGGCACAGTGGGAAGTGAGGTACTGTGACAGACTGGGTCTGCTCTCCATCCTTACATGCTAAGTAAAATATAGGCTCGTGTCTCACCCTGGTCTCTGGTCTCTCCCACTCCTTCCAAAAATTCTAGGAACCACACCTATCTTCCAAACAGAGAGCCAGATCAACCACTGCCTTCTCCTGCCAACCTGAAACGCCTGGACAAGGTGAGCAAGGACTTTATTCCCTTTTTGGAGACTGGATCTCACTGTGTAGTCCAGGTAGGCCTGGAACTCCTTATGCAGAACAGGCTGGCCTCAAATTCAGAGATTCACCTGTCCCTGCTTCCTGAGTGCTGAGATTAAAGGCATGCACCGACATGTCCAGAGAGGCAGGAGCTTTTCACAGCGTAGTTTAAAGGGCTAGGGATGTAGCTTGGTGGATGCAGTACTGGTACAGCATAAAATCTGGCACATGCCTACAAGAGAGGTCTCCAGAGACAGGAGAATCAGTTCAAGGCCATGCTTTGTTACCCAGCGTAGTTAGTTTGAGGCTAGCCTGGACTACCAACCTAAGGACTGGTTTCAAAAAAGCAAAAAAAAAAAAAAAAAAAAAAAAAAAAAAGGCGGGCAGCAGGCTGGGGAGATGGCTTATCAAGTGCATTTGCTGTGCAAGCGTAAGGACTGGACTGAGTCTCAATCCCCAGCGCCTATGTAAAAGGCAATGCTTCCTGTGCCTGTAACTCTAGCACTGGGGGAATGGGGACAGGTATTTGCTGGCTAGCCAGCCTGGGAAAAAAAGCTTTATGCTTAGTGAGAGAATAAGGAAAAAATTGACAGAGGACACCCATGTCTTCCATGGGGTGCATGCCAGCATATGCACAAGAACACAAAAATACTTTTTTTTTTTTTTAAGAGATAGGGTTTCTCTGTATAACCCTGGCTGTCCTTGAAAACCCTCGGTAAACTAGGCTGGCCTTGAACTCACAGAGAGCCACCTGCCAACTCAGGAGAGTGCTGGGATTAAAGGAATGTGTCACTTGCCCAGCTAAAAAATACTTTCTTGGTTAGGTAAAACTTAAAATTTAGGAGCTGATGAAATAGCAGTTTTTAGCAAAAGAGTAAGAACCTCCTAGCTTGCTGTTTATGTCACAGATTTCTTTTCAACAGAAACGTTCAGCGCCAATAACCACGGAAGAACCAGAGGAAAAGAGGCTCAGAGCTTTGCCTCCTGCCCCAAGTCCACAAGGGCTATCAAATCAGGACTCCCAAGAGGGAGGAAACTGGGTGCAAGATGAAGATGGAGATGGAGATTCCAGGCTGGAGCAGAGTCTCTTGGACCAAGCAGGTGAGTTAATGAGAGGAGGATAAACACCAGTGGGAAAAAAAGACCCTAATTACTTGTTCTCTCACTTCCTTCCTAGCCTCTGAATCCCCAAGCCCCGAGGAGGTACCAGATTATTTCCTGTAAGTTGCCCACCCTTCCAGTTTCATAGTCTGTACATGTAAGCAGCCAGGGTTTTTTTTTTGGTGGGGGGCAATGAAATTGAGGGTGTCACCTCCCTGATAGGCAATACGGAGCCATCCACAGCACAGAGCAGCAACAGGCCTACGAGCAGGACTTTGAGACAGACTATGCTGAATACCGGATCCTGCATGCCCGTGTTGGGGCTGCCAGCCAAAGGTTCACAGAGCTGGGGGCGGAGATCAAGAGACTTGAGCGAGGAACTCCAGAACACAAGGTAAAGGCAGGATTCTACCTTACTGGCCATTATCTTCCTGCTAATTACCCCCAAACATGCTTGTTTAGTGACTAAGGGACAAGCAAACTTCCTATATTTGGCGGAATAAAACCAGAAGTTACTCCCATTTTTTACTTTTTCCTCTTTTCCCTTTCCCCAGTTTTCAGCCAGTGTCATTTTTCTTTCAGGTGCTAGAAGATAAAATAGTCCAGGAGTATAGAAAGTTCAGAAAGGTAAGACTGGCTGCAAGCAGTAGGCACTAAGGTGGAAGCCACTTTACTTTTTATAAGAGTGTTTCTCTCTGCAGCGGTATCCAAGCTACCGAGAGGAGAAGCATCGCTGTGAGTACCTGCATCAGAAATTGTCCCACATTAAAGGTCTCATCCTGGAGTTTGAGGAAAAGAACAGGGGCAGCTGAGACCATGCGGAGGGCTTTCGAGCCTGTGCCAGTAATGAACAGAACAGCTCTAAGACGGAGCCCATCTGCTTTTCTGATTTGACCCTTCCATCCAAGGGGGCAAGTAGAGTTATGCTAGGTTCTTGCAGTTTGGTTTTTGTTATTGCTGTTAATTTTGTAGGGTGTGGGCATGGAGTCAAGTCTCCTCAGCTGTGCCCAGGAGACCAAAAGTAGCAGACGCTTGGCTTCCTCAACTCTACTTCAGCTAAGTCATTTTCAGATCCTGAAAAATGACATTTCCAGATCAACACACAAGACAAGTGAGTTTAGCTAAGTGGCCTCGCAGGAGGAAAATGAGAACTTCTGGTGTCATAGCATACCTAGATGTAAGGGAAAGGGCTTAGCATTACTCATGCACTGTAACATGGCTGAAAAATGAAACCAAATTGCTTCTGTGTCTTGTGTGATCATTAACCTTAACCATCCAAGGTGGTGCTCTGTATGTGACTTTCTCTGAGGCTCTCGGAAAGACCAAATCCCCATGTTCCAGCCCAAGTGTTATGAACTGGAGTCTCCAAGATTATGATCATCTTTACTGTGCTAGATACATGCTCTACCACTAAACAACACTACAACCCCTACCCCAACATGCTCTTAAAACATTATGTAAGATCCAGATGTGCATTTTATCATCGGGCCCTATCAGAAAGTCACAGAGAATTAAGGCTATATATCTAGGATTATGAGGAAGAGACCTAGTTAGTCATCCTCATCAACTTAGACCATGAAACCCAATATGGATAAGTTCCACCAAGCCGCCATATATGGGCTGCCCATGTATGCTTCACCATTGCCAGGGCATAAATTTCATCTAGAATTGTCCTGGGCTGAAAACTATAATTATGGACAAGAGTCTGATTTAGCTACAAAGAAGGTCCATATTTTAATCAAAAGAAAACATCTTGTAGGCTCTTGTTCTTGCCAGTGATGTATGTTTCCCTGTTTTACTGGAAAGAAATTAATGGCTATACCCAAAGATCTGGGGAGAGCTGCCTCCAGCAGTATCAACTATTCCTCAAACAAACTGGATGGAACCCTAAACTGATGTCATACTGGCACAGGGCATTTCTGGGCAGGATCATCCTCAGGAGGTACGAACATGCAGCAAGCTTGGCTCTGTGGCAAAGATAAGCAGTTATCCATCTTCAAGACAGGAATAAAGTCAAAACAACTGTAATCTTAGTACCTGGGGGCTGAGCAGGGTGGACTGTTAAAGGCCAGCCTTGGCTACAGGAGACTGAGAAATTAAGATTTAGAGATGGTAATTGGACCTAGTCAGTCTGAGGTTACAGGGATCAGTGCAGCATACTATGACACTTTAAATTTTTTTCCAGATAGTTTAAAATGCTAGCCTTAAACCTGCTACACAGCCAAGGATGACCTTGTAGTGTTGGGATTACAGGTGTGTGTCAATATGTCTGCCTTAGCTACAAGTACTGAACAGTATGGCCAACAGATGAAATGTATTTCTATCACCATCTATATTAACAGTTTAGAGACCCTGGTTCTCTATTCCATGAGGGGGAAAAAGCCAACAGGATAAAGGGGGCACATTTATTGTCACTCTTCCAAATGTACAAAAAAAATTAGAAAATAACCCCCAACTCAACCCCCCCACCCCCACAACATTCTTCCCAACACAAATAATTTTCTCCCCAAACCACAAACATAAACTGGTCCTGGTATTTTCATAAACAGTGCAGCTAAGAAACAGTTTAGAGAAAATTGAGCAGGATTCAGAGTATATCCATTCTGTCCTCTCCTATGGGTCTGCCATCTCTGGTGTCAGAGTCCTTTTACAAAGTGGTGCATTTGGCTGTTGCTTTAGAGGTCCTCTTGTGCCTTCTTCTTCTTTTTGGGTTTTTCCTCTTGAATTATAGGGGGATTTGTAGCTTCTCGTTGTAGATAGCTAATAAAATCATTTAATTCACGGCCACCCTAAAAAAAGAAAGGTTATTTTAATTTTTTAAAGAACTCTAGTTAAGGGCCAGTTGGGTTGCTTATTGGAATTTGACTCCCAGATCCCAAATGGTAGGAGAGAACTCCTCAAAGCTGTCTTCACATACATATCTATTGCCAACAAAACAGCTAGGCATGGGGGCTGAAGAGATGGCTTAATGGTTAAGTGCACTGATTGCTCTACCAGAGGACCCAGGTTCAATCCCCACCACCTACATGGAAGCTCACAACTGTCTATAATGCCAGTTCCAGGATGTACAACACCCTTAGAGGCAAAATATCAATGCACATAAAAATAAACAAATCATTTATTAAAAAAAAAAAAAAAGCATGACCAGGCAGTGGTGGCACACGTCTTTGCTCCCAGCACTTGGGAGACAGAGGCAGAGGCAGGAGGAGTTCGAGGTCAGCCTGGTCTACAGAGCTACTTCCAGGATAGGCTCCAAAACCCTGTCTGGGGGAGAAAAAAAAAGGGGGTGTATATTTCAGGGAAATGGGACAATGCACTTACTTCATACTTCTTTGGATTTAGCTTCTTGTTGGCTGGTGAGAAGTAGATGGTAGGAAAACTAGGAAAAAGAAAAAAAAAAAAAACAGTTCACCAATTTCAAGTCTGAGTGATTCTACCATACCTGTCCAATAGTGTTCTAACGACCCCTTTTCTTTGTGGTTTCTAATCTGATCTAATGTTGCTTTCCATGAGTGCCTGAATTATACTATATAGATTTCAAAATTCTGAGGGAGTCATGTTGGGGTCACCAATGCAGAAATCTAAGAAATTCACCTCCCCCAGATATAGCCAGCAAGGAAATGGTTTACGGTGGCTACTCAAGTGGTTGAAGCTGGGTTAATCTGAATTCAGGAGTTTGAGGCTAGCCTAGGCAACCAAGTAAATTCCATATCTAAACACAAACACCTTTTCATCAACATACCCTTTGACTTCATATGGAGAAGGCACATCATTGGCTGTGGCATCCATCTTGGCTATAACAATATTTGGGTCTTTGCTAAGCTGTTAATACAAATAAAAAGAAGAAACGTCAACAACAAAGAACTTAATCTGTAATCCCAGTACTGAAAAAGCTAAGGCACAGGTATTACCACAGATCCCAGACTGGTCTGCGCTAAAGTGTGAATCTGGCCTCAAATACACATGCGCATTCCTGCACTCCTACACCTGGACACAGAAAGAGCACTGTCACGAGTCACAACATCATTCAAAATACTTGATACCAAGCTAGGTCTAGCGGCCCATGCCTTTCATAAGCCTAGCATTTGGGGGCCAAAAGCAGATGAACCTAAGAGTTTGAAGCAAGCCTGGTAAAGTTTTCAGTATCAGATACTTACTGATTTATGACTTAGACAATTGTGAGAAGAACACAGACTTACTTCCTAACCTCCTAGCTTCTCTCTTATGAGCTGGTTCTTGCAGAACACTGCATGTAAGGCCAGGACTAGTCCTTCCATGTAGGAGGCTGAGCACATGCTCAGGCTGCTCCTGGACTATACAATAAGACCCTGTCTCAAAACAAAACACTAAGACTACACATAGCCACCTTTAAATTCTATCTATCTACCTATCTACCCACCCACCCACCCACCCATCCATCCATCTTTTTGGTGTAGAGTTTATTGAGAGAAGAGTAAAGAGGAAGGAAGAGAGACCTGCTTGCCTCCTTTAAAAGAACAGTGTAAAAAGCAGCCACCTTTAAATTTACCTGGCTTGGATTACATTACAAAGAAAACCATCAATTTTGTTTTTTTTTAAATGAAGGACTATACAAATTCAGAAACATCACCAAAATCCAGATGATCCCAGACATTTGTAACCATGCTGTAGAATGAGCCTGATTGGTGTTAAGTTGGCTATCTGTTAACTTATTTATAGACTAGGGGGCAGTCAAGAGCAAACGTGTAAACAATAGTTGAGAAAGAATATACCAGTACTTAGGAACAAGTTAAATCTATGCTTAAAATACATATAAACTTCCAGATCAATCTTGTATTCATAGAGGGTTCAGACTTACTTTCTCTCCTAGTTCTTTATATTTGGGTTCCAGATTCTTACAGTGACCACACCAAGGAGCATAAAATTCAATCAGCACATCCTTATCTTCATTATTCACTATGTCATCAAAATTTTCTGCTACCACAACCTAGAACACAGAAGATTCTCTAGTCATAAGAAAGTTGAAAAATAAATCCACAAGCAATTCACCTCAACTTGCATTACAAAATTTACACACCCATAAACATGTTGTTATTTCCCATTAACCAATTTATCCTCACATCTAACCCCATCAAACTATGTTTAGGAAGCCACAGGAAATAAAAACAACCTAATGACTTTCTTTCTTTTAAAAAACTTTACTCACAGGGCTGGAGAGATGGCTCAGTGGTTGAGAGCATTGATTGCTATTCCAGAAGACCTGGATTCAATTCCTAGCTCAGAACTATCTATAGCTACAATCAGGGATCTGACACCCTTACAGACATGCATGCAAACAAAACACCAATGCACATTAAAAAAAACCCACACAAAAAATCTTTACTCATTGTGTGTGTATATCATAGATACAGACTTCATAGAGCTTGTTCTCTTTTCTCCGTCCACTGCTGTGTGGGATCACGGGATCGAACTGGTCTTATTTTGCATTAAGTACTTTCCACATGGAATCACCTCTTGGACCTGTAATGGTTCTTAGCTGAGATGTAGCTCAGTGGTAGAATACTTACTTAATATGGGTTTGAGTCCCAGTATTAAAACAAACATCAAATTAAAAACAAATTGAAGAAATGTCTGTAAGGTTTTTGGTCAGGTCTATCAACGTTAAGATTTAGAAAGACCGAAACACACCTTGACAGGCCCATCGTTGGTCTCTGGGATTGGCTCAGACTTCAGGTATCTCTTTAGGTTTCCATCAAAGTAATCCTGCAGGAACCGCTCAAGAGCCTTTCCATCCCGCCTACAAATGCAAAGAGAGGTTCTTACGGGAGCTCATGGTTCTTTTCTCCTGCTTCCACCACACAAGCGCATGCTGGAATTACAAGACCATACCACCATTGCCCAGCTTCTACCCACTACTTCTAATGAGGTGGTATTATGTAAGAATTCTAAGCTGCTACCCTTTCGCTAGTCTGCAGCAATTATAATCTTTAATGTACCTATGATGGGAAGTCAGAGACTTCTCCCTACCCCAATGTTACTCTAAGTTCTCAGTGTTCAGGCTTTAATGATTTTCTGAGTTGAATTCAATTCCAAGTAATAACTTACGAGAACTCTTCTTGCATGACAAACTTCTCTCCTTTAGCAGTTCTGATAGCCACAACAGGAACCTCTCCAGTAGTACTTTCCAAACCAAAATCAGACAGCTCATGGCTAAAGGTTTTACGGCTTGCTACTGCAAAGTTGAGTTTGTGTCCAGCATCAAGGAAT